TTTCCCTTCTACGTCACTTTACCGAAAGAACCAAGAAGACGAATCCCTGCAGTCACGAAAGCTTTAAATCGAAATTTTGCGGGTGATTTATTTTGTTTACTAGCAAGCATCCCAGTAAACATGCAAACGTTGGGCCGACGTTGACATCAAGCAACGTTGACCCATCGTTGTGAGTTCACTGAGACATTTGCATGGCTAAGGCAGCAAGTCGGCCAAAATTAACCCATCGCTGCTGACCTCCCTATGAGTCATAGATCGTCCTATATCAGTGCCGGATTCTCCTAGTAGTAATATGACTTTGAACCCCCCCCGCCCACCTCCTACACATTTCCCATGAATATGCTAAATTCCTCTTGATATGCACATTATTTTGTTAAGGCGCTCTTCTTCCACCTCCAACCCAGCTTATATATAAGCTCCAAGCTTGGCAGTGTCTCATTCTTCACCTGAAGACGGCTGCTTGCGTTGTAGCCGAAACGTCGTGAGAATTATTTTATTATGTTTTATTTTATTATTTTATTACTTCCCTTCTACGTGACTTTACCGAAAGAACCAAGAAGATAGCTACATATGTTACGGGCCCCGCACTTTCAAGGGCCCCGCGATAATTGCTTTCAAGCTATTATCAATTCCGGTTCAGTGATTCTGCACTTGCTCTATTACTATAGTACTATACCGCCTTCAACTTTTATGAACGACTGGGTGTTTAAGGTGAGCAATTTGTCGTAATATCTGGCTGTATAGCATATGAAAAAAATACAATTACTTTACCAAGTAAAAAATGTGCGTTTTAATATTTACGTGTTTTTATTTATTACGGCCCCTTATAACATATCCTACAGGCCCCGCAACTCGCTTAATCCGCACTGCCCTATATGCATGTGTTTACATCAGTCACCCCTGTCAGAACCGTGACCATAAAAGGTACTGAATATGCGCGCGTGTGCGTTGCGTCCTATACAGGGATATAATCTGGAGAGTAAAGTCCATCGCGGAAGATGGAGAGATCTAATCAGCCGCTGTGCAGGTGCTCGTGTGCATGGAGAATGTGTGATCACGGTGGCAGGAGGCTAGGGGAGGCATTCATCCAGCAGTGGATTGTATCATTTCTAGATGTGAAGCTTTCGTGACTGCAAGGATTCATACTCTTAGTTCTTTCGGTAAAGTCACGTAGGTAAAAAAATGAAATTAAAATTAATTTATTGTTTTATTTTTGTTAATTTTAATTTCATTTTTTACCTACGTGACTTTACCGAAAGAACTAAGAGTATGGATTGTATCATGTCCGATGCGGATTGAGTTTACAGGACACATTGGTTAAACTCATGAGACGGAATGTAGTTACAACGCAAAACGGGACGTAACGTGACGGTTTTTTCCGGATTATAAGACGCAACATTTTGCTTTAAATAAAGTGGGGGGCTGGTTGGTTGGGGGCTAGTGGGGGGGAGGGGGTGGTCCGTAAGTGCCGTCTTATAATCCGAAGCAATACCCAAATGCCTCAAAGTTCACGTGACCCATATTTGGGCAGGAAAACATTTGACCGGATAGGAACTCCGGTGAGTCTGTCTCTCGTTCTCTCTCTCTCGTGGCCAACCCGAAATAGTCATTAGCAACGTGCTCGCCCCAGATCACTCAGCGTGTCGCGGGCAATCACGTTTTGCACGGCGGAGCAAAGAGCAAAACGCGCCTCGCTGTCCTCGAATGGCACCCTGAAGCGAGGGGGTTAAAGGCGGCGCGAGATTTTGCATTTGCTATGCCACGTTTACATTTTAACACCAAAATAATAACAAGAAAACAACAAAACGGAGAAGCAAGTCCCAGCAGCGTATGCATTGCCCCTCCGTTAGGCAATCTCCTGATTCGTTTGATTTGTTTGATTTTCTTGCTAGCTATGTAATCGCTCGTGATGAACAGCGGATTCCTCCAATAATTAAAATGAAAGTTGCTTCTGATTGTGAGCTGCAGTCCCCCAGCCCCCTCCATCTAGACCACCGCTTGTGTGTTGGAGAATAAACCCACAGCATTCACAATTTGAGTACTGAGAATAGGGTTTTCCCCGTTAATCAGGCAACAAAACAGGTTCATATTCTTAGGTTTTTTCGGTAAAGTCACGTAGGTAAAACATTAAAATTAATAAAAGTAAAATAAAATAAAAATCACGACGTTTCGGATTTTTATTTTATTTTACTTTTATTAATTTTAATGTTTTACCTACGTGACTTACCGAAAAAACCTAAGAATATGAATCCTTGCAGTCACGAAAGCTTCAAATCTAGAACAAAACAGGTGTTAAGTTGTTAAAACACCAAACCGAAACCTTTTACAAGGAATCATGTCTGCATTAACCACAATAGTTGCGGTCAGAATGCAAACAAAAAACATACTCTGATAATATATGCATTGTCTTTGAAACTGATTGGTCCACACGAGAGACAGCTTTCTTTTGAGCCTCGTCTCAAACGGTGCTCCCCGCTGAGGCTCCATCCCCTCCCCTCCCCCACCTCAGGCCCTTCCGCACAGATCACACCACGCCTCCACCCAGTTGAGGCTCCACCCATTGCCACAAAACACGCCCCCCTCCCGCTAAGGCTCCACCTCTCCCGTCTGTTAGGCACCGCCCCACAGAACACGCCATGCCCTCACCCAGCTTGAGGCTCCATTCCCTCCCCAGAAAAAAAGGGCCCTTCCCCGCTAAGGCCCCTCCCCCCCACCTCAGGCCCCGCCCACAAACCACCCCCCTCCCCCACCTCAGGCCCTTCCCAATAGACCACGCCCCTCCCCCACCCCCCTCCCCCACCTCAAGCCCCGCCCACAAACCACCCCCTCCCCCACCTCAGGCTCTTCCCAATGGACCACGCCCCTCCCCTCCACCTCAAGCCCCGCCCACAAACCACCCCCTCCCCCACCCCCCCTCCCCCACCTCAAGCCCCGCCCACAAACCACGCCACTCCCCCCACCCCCACCTCAAGCCCCGCCCACAAAACCACCCCCTCCCCACCCCCCTCCCCCACCTCAAGTCCCGCCCACAAACCACGCCACTCCCCCCACCCCCCTCTCAAGCCCCGCCCACAAACCACCCTCTCCCACACCTCAAGCCCCGCCCACAAACCACGCCACTCCCCCCACCCCCACCTCAAGCCCCGCCCACAAACCACGCCACTCCCCCCACCCCCACCTCAAGCCCCGCCCACAAACCACGCCACTCCCCCCACCTCAAGCCCCGCCCACAAACCACCCCCTCCCCCCTCCCCCACCTCAAGCCCCGCCCACAAACCACCCCCTCCCCCACCTCAAGCCCCGCCCCCCGGCGCGTTCCCGCTCTCGCGGCACGTGCGCGCGCACCCCGGCCGCCATATTGGGAGGAGAGCGCGGCCCAGCGAGTTTGCGTTGAACACCCCCGACACCTGTTGCCGCCAAAACCCCCCCACCACCACCACCACTACTAACCTCGCTCTCTCTCTCTCTCACATCACAACATCACACGCAGGTCGCCTCAGACGAATTACACGTAAATTATTGAGACGAGGGGAGGGGGGGGGGTTAAAGAGTAAAAAAAAACTCGACAAATAATTTCGCAGCAATCGAGCATCTCGTGAGGAGCTTTCGACCGATTTCGACCACGAGGGTTTTTTTTTTTCTTTCTTTTTCTTATTTTGTTGCCCTCACACGCGGTCACCACCGTTGTTGCGGCGTTTCTCGTTTCTCCGCGTCCACCCCGGTTGCTGCTGCCGGGTCTTTCCGCAACGCGCCCGGCGTTCCCCGTGCTTGGGTGAGTGTGAATTGCCCGCGCGAAGTGCGCAATTGGTTTGTGTTAATTGGGTAAACGTACCGTCTTGTAATGAATGTCGATCTTTGTTGCATGCTGCGGTGGGTGTTTTTTTTTGTTGTATACGCGATCTGTGTACCCTGAGTGTGGTGTGTGTGTGTGCGCCGATCTCGTTAGGTTTTAAGAGGCACTGGAGAGGGGTCCTTTTTTAATGGAACTGCAAGCAGATCGTTTCTGTGTCTCCGCGTTGTTCTAAAGCAACGTTAAATACTCAATCGACGTAAAGTGCCGCTCGATCATTCCGTGTACTGCGATTATAGAAGACAAATTCAACACGGCCAGTCGAGCAAAAGACTTGTGCACAACGTGGCCCCCCTCTGATCCAATGTTGGCCTCGCCACCGGGGGAGGGGTATGAAAAAACGAGCCCTCAGTTGCACTATTTCACTTACATATACCACCACCCCCAGTACCGTAATCGTCAGGCGTGTGCTAAGAAACCATTCGGCATCGTGTTGTTAAAAGTTTACACGGGTCATCTTGGCCGGACGGGAAACGCGACCTTGCCTAATGCTTGCTGCCACTGCCGCGTGTAATTTCGCAAGCGCCATGTGGAAAGCGAGCCCTGGGCACAAGTTACCATCGCCACTTCCTTATCGCGAAACTCGGCTTTGTTGGCCGCGGAAAATACGTTTACTGTAACTTCGACACATTCCCCCCACCTCCCCCCTTTGTTGCTGTGTCTAGCGACGTATTAGCTTACTACACATACTCATTGTTGATGTGTCCAGCCAAGAACTACACTTGTACACACGTGTGTTGCTGTGTCTGGCTTACGTAGTGTTGCTGTGTCAGGCCACGTATTAGCTTACTACACATACTCATTGTAGATGTGTCCAGCCAAGAACTACACTTGTACACACGTGTGTTGCTGTGTCTGGCTACGTATTCGTCACACACTCCTTGTTGCTGCCTAGAGACATTACTAACATTTCTACACAACTCCCTGTTGCAGTGACTAGCCACGTATTAGCTTACTACACATACTCATTGTTGATGTGTCCAACCAAGTTTTTAACTACACTTGTACACAGACACGTGTGTTGCTGTGTCTGGCTTACGTAGTGTTGCTGTGTCTGGCCACGTATTAGCTTACTACACATACTCATTGTTGATGTGTCCAGCCAAGAACTACACTTGTACACAGACACGTGTGTTGCTGTGTCTGGCTTACGTAGTGTTGCTGTGTCAGGCCACGTATTAGCTTACTACACATACTCATTGTTGATGTGTCCAGCCAAGTATGAACCACACTTGTACACAGACACACGTGTGTTGCTGTGTCTGGCTTACGTAGTGTTGCTGTGTCAGGCCACGTATTAGCTTACTACACATACTCATTGTTGATGTGTCCAGCCAAGTATGAACCACACTTGTACACAGACACGTGTGTTGCTGTGTCTGGCTTACGTAGTGTTGCTGTGTCTGGCCACGTATTAGCTTACTACACATACTCATTGTTGATGTGTCCAGCCAAGAACTACACTTGTACACAGACACGTGTGTTGCTGTGTCTGGCTTACGTAGTGTTGCTGTGTCAGGCCACGTATTAGCTTACTACACATACTCATTGTAGGTGTCCAGCCAAGAACTAGACTTGTACACACGTGTGTTGCTGTGTCTGGCTACGTATTCGTCACACACTCCTTGTTGCTGCCTAGAGACATTACTAACACTTCTACACAACTCCCTGTTGCAGTGACTAGCCACGTATTAGCTTACTACACATACTCATTGTTGATGTGTCCAGCCAAGTATTAACTACACTTGTACACAGACACACACGTGTGTTGCTGTGTCTGGCTACGTATTCTTCACGCACTCCTTGTTGCTGCCTAGAGACATTACTAACACTTCTACACATACTCCTTGTTGCAGTGACTAGCCACATTACGTCTACACAACTACTCCCTGTTGCTGTGTCTAGCCACGTATTACTACACTTCTACACACACACACTGTGCTTGTTGTTGTGTCCAGAGAGCTTTTCTCCACGGACTACTTACTGCTGCCCAGGTGCGTATTTACCACACTTTTACACATGTTGCTGTGTGTAGGCACGTCTTAGGCACACTTGTACACGTACTTCTTGCTGCTGTGTGTAGGCACATTAACTAAACGTTTCCACACATTGCTCCATGCTGTCGTGTAGACACACTTCCACACCTGCTCCATGCTGTTTTTTAGGCACGTGTGGACCTTTGTAACCTGTTGTATTTGAGTCTCATCCAAGGGGGGTGGTGCCTTCTTTGGTTTTCTCCCACATGTAAGCCACTCCTTTTAAAACGGGCAATTGGAACATCCCAATGCACGAACCCTCCTGAAATGGGCCATCTGCCTCGGCGAGACTTTTCTGGATAGATACATGACGTCACCTTGATGGATTTTGTGAAAATGGGCCTGTTGGATCCAATAAATATTCCCCTGGATTCCAAGACCTTCCTGAAAGGGAAAAGTCACCCGAACGTGTGCCCGGTGTCAGGAAAGTATATATTAAAATATAGGTCACTAAAACTAATCATTTTATTTTATCAGGTAAGGCCCCCACTGACCGATATTTAATATCTCTTTTTTAGAAGCACCCTGTCCATAAATGATAGCTCAACGAGAAGGGGCTTATCATGTGGATATTTATCGCAACCAAATACTCTAAACGCGCTCGCACCCACCGATTTATAAGACGGGGCACCTTAACTATTTGCTTAAATTTCAGTGGATAATATATGCACTACTATCATTCACGTTTTCTTCTTTGCTGCTGCCAACTCAAACAACATGTTCGATTGTATGAAAGCAGTTAAGTAATACGTTTCACATCCTGTATCAGTGCTGTGCCACACGGTGAAAATAACAGGCCGTGTAGAAACATAAGAGCGTTTACGACACGAGATGCAATTTTAATTTGCACGTTTACAACTTAAAAACCTTTTTTGGACCGGTCAATTTAAACTGAGTTATGCATTCCCAGAAGCCCATGGCGCGGATGGGTTGTGTAGGAATTACATAAATATTTTGTTTTATTTGGAGACGGATATGTGGATGCGTTGTTCGTTTTATTTATATTCTCCATAACGACGCTTATTATTTTGAGTGTGTAGGATTATATATTTTAGTTTGCCTCAAACTAGGACTCTATTATCGTAAAGATAGGGTGCTTCCCTATAACAGAATCAGAATATTGATTTATACTGGAGGAATCCTTTGAGCTATAAATCTATTTTTGACAGATGTCCATAAAACACCATGATTGATTCAAGCAAACCTGACTGCCGATAAGACCACGATGTCGACACCAGCTGAGAGTTTTCTTGTCTTGAATCAATGCCACTGGAATTACTACGCACCCCCAGAAATGCCGTGGGGATGATGGGTTGTGTGGAGAGACGGATAGGCGAAAGTCTTGAGACGTTGCTTATATCCGGTCTAGGTAGCTTGGCAGTCGAGCGAAACTACAAAGAAATCCGAGTTCAAATCTTGATAGGGGTTTACATAGCCATATTGTTCCTTCTAGGTTACCAAATGAGTACAGAACCACTTGGAGGGAGAGTTAACGGTGGTTGTCAAATGGATATACTCGTCCCCGTCATGGGAACGCGGAACACCGTTGTAATGTCCATTTGAGAAAGACATCCCATGATCCTCTTCTCTCTCGACCATTTTAGGAAGAAAAGCGATAGACCGACACGTGTTTTATTCTCTGTTGTTGAAAAGCCCTGGCTTTATTGCCGTTTGACGTATTAGCGAGATAACCAAAGGATTAAACAGGTCAATGCAGTGTGTAATGTTATCCGTACTGTACATTCATCACTCGGCACCGGAGCTCACGACTAATCCTCAGGCCGAGAAAGGCCCTTTTCTCTTGTCTCGTTTTGGTTCCTGCGAATAAAAAAAAATGTAGAAAAGCCACGTTCTTCCCTCATTAAAAGAACTATTCACAACCCCGTAATCCACAGTTGGATGGATGCCTCGCATCTCCATTGGCAAGTGTTTCATCATACTTCGCTGCTCTAGTCACTGTAAGTTGTTGAATGGAGGCCCAGAAACTGTTTCAGATATTACCAGCCACTGATGTTAGCCATGGCCAGGATACAAACGGCTATGGTGGCGAGATGTTTAACTACCTCGCCTGATAAACAGAAGACATTGGGTTCGATTCCGACGCCTGCTGTGTATATTTGGAGTTGGCATGTCTCGCCATGGTCGCGTGGATTTTTTTCCGGGTTCTCCGGTTTTTCTGTCTACCTTTAGAAACATCCGTTTTCGAGTATTTAGCTGCTACAAATGTTCACGATGATAAGCCACTTTGTTGAGCTATCCTTTGAGAGAGCCAGGTGGCTTAATAAAAATAGCGATATCGCTCAGTGGGCCTTTCCTGTTGAAATATAAAATAGTTTTAGCCTCACAGCACAGTACACTAACCACGGTGCCACCGCTCCAACACTTATTGTTATTATTGTCTACACATACGTAATTGACTGTGCTTAACCTTTCCTTAACTCTGCCTGAATACATTAGTGTATTGAGTGGTTTATTTGGGTACATGCAGTACAGTATGTGATTCTTTAGCGCATCCTCGTGTGTATATGTTTGATTTTGTAAACTGATAATCGTTTATAGCTCTAATTATAACACTATGGCATGTTGCCTACATTGTACGGTGTGTTGTTAAAAGGCACCACAGCATATCGTGTTGCTGGGAGTGTCGGTTGTACTGCAATTGGCTAATGGGGAAACCGGTCCATATGCGCTTCAACTTCTGTGGGGGTGCTGCCAACGTTGTTGATATCACTGTTGGAGTGTGTGAAGCCAGCAGCATTACCTTCTAAGAGTAACCTCAATAATTCAAGTGGTACCGCAATAACCTGAAACTCGGGAGACATCGTCTGGCGGTGACGATGGATTGTTGCTTCCACGTTTTCAGAAACGTTTATCCCAAATGTTAAA